AATACTACGAACTCAGTGTTTTGATCGATAGTAGAACACAACTATGGTGTTTCATATTCATGAAAACGTTTCGAATTAGAAAACTCCACTCCCTCACAGTAATGCTGCGTACCGTCACATTGACGGAACGACTTCCGCGAGGATCTGTTCCTGTTGTGAGTCCATACGCCTGAGGGACCGGACGAATACGAATACGATATGTTTATGAGTGGTGTACTGAATGCGGTCTTCTAGATCTTTGATGAGCCTCTCATTTTTCACTCTGAGTTCCTTTTGAACAGCAAGCTCCATCTTCTGTGACTCAAGCTTCAGCCGCAACTCCGACATGCGAATCTAAGATATGTTACAAGAAACTTACCACCCAAGTTGGTAATGTGTGAGCCTCTCAAGCAATTGATCCAGGTTCGAACCCGGGCCAAGACATCGAACATTAACGACATAGTTCGACAAAAAAATCATAACCTCGATAAGTTGGCACCTTTATCGATAAATAAAAGCGAGCCTGCAGCTCACATCTCTCTCAGTCTCATCCTCTTCTTGTAAACACTCTCCGTCATCACTCCCACTCGGTCCATCTGACAAACGCGAAGTGCTCCTCCGTTGGGACCTCAACTGCTCCAATGCTTCAGTCAAGACCTGCCAATCGGAACTTGACAGCGCTATAGATAGAATACGATAATGAGACTCACCTGCTCCCTAGCCTTCAAATCCCTTTGTCGCTGAGCCAGGTTCGCTTCCAACTCATTGCACTCCCTTTCCTCTTCCTCAATCGACTTCAACAAGGCATCATATTCTTCCTGTCGACGCGATAACTGCAGACACCCGTTTTGGAAGAAAGCTTTTCTTCCCTCAGCTGAGCTCGGAAGTTTCCTCACTAACTATGGAAGCTTATACGAATTCGGACAGAAGTGTACAAAAAGCAAGAAGAGCTCCCGAAGTTTCCATATTGTCACCAACACACTTAGTTGAACATGCGCATATTCTCCCCTTTCTAAAAACTCACCATCCTACCTGAGCTTCCGCGTCCGCTACCTCGTTCTGTAGCCCTTCCAACTCCCCCTTCATCTCGGCCAACTTGGTCTCTCGCTCCTCAATGGTAGCCGTCTTCGCCGTCACCTCCGCATGCATGACCGTGCACTCTTCCTGCGCCGTCTGCAGCTCAATCTCGATTGACTCCGCACGCTGAACGACTACCAGACTGGAGTATACGTTTAGTTCCCTCAGCTGAGTTCGGGAGTTTCCCCACTGCATTGCAATCATTCAGACATGACTTGGGGTAGAATTTCCTCATCGTCAACAACATGTGCGTAACAAGCCAATTTTTACCTTGGTATCATGTTATATTATGTTACTATCAAAACTGGTACAAATCTATATATGATTTCGGGTAATAGATGTTTCTCATCATTTTTCGGGTTTTTGAGCTGAAACGATGACAGGGCATAGATAAAGTGATAACCCATCATATAATCCACATTGAGCTCAGCTCACCTCAGTTTCGTCCTCAAGCATTCCTCTAACCTGCTCTAACTCCCTCTCGAGCTGAGCGTTGGTATTGTGCTGATCCTCAACGGCTCCCCTGAAGAGACCAGCACTATTCCACTCAACGACTAGGGTAGGATGCGATGGATAGGAAAGCGTTGCTATATACAGATGAGTGGATAGCAATACATTAGCTATGGGACAAGGCTATGTAGCTATTACTAATGATTGTGTATTGGGAAATTACACCAGTACAATCAGGCCCAGCACTGTCCTGGCGGCTCACCGCAATGCTTGCAGATCCTCTCCGTCACTTTGGAACCCTCTGCCAGCCAAAAATGCAGACAGCTCACGATTGGCTGCGGCCAAGGACTCGTTCAACTGAACAATGACAGTGTGATGGTCTCTAACACACGATACCAAAGTGTACTCCCTCATCACCACTGTTTGTGTGATGAGCAAAGATACTATAGCGGCTGCCAACATCAGCCAGCTCATCGGGACTAACTAACTACGACTATCCGGAAGCCAAACTCGAAGAGCCCTTCGGTATGTTCCTGTGCTATTAACGACTTGTACGAAGAGATAATTGACACAACCTTGTGTTATGTGTTTTCTAGTGCCCCTAACTGTGTTCTCAGATCCTCTAGCGTCAAGCTAGTGGACCCGATCTGTATTCAATTACCCCCAGTATTTTTACAGTTAGTGAGGCTCTACTGGAGTATCTACTTTGGTATCACCTAGAACCTTCGTATACTTTAACGGTCAAGAGTCTTGAATTATACCAATACCGCCATAGATGCTTCGTTAAATGATGTTCCCAACTAATTCAAGTATTGTAGTCGCTATTGTTGCTATGGTTATTCCCAACTTCATAAGAGTTATTGAGGCTCCATTGTGGCATGTACTTAGTCACCAAGTTCATCACTTAGAACCTTCGTACACTTCGACAGTCAAGAGTCTTGAATTATATCAATACCGCCATAAATGCCTCGTTAAGTGACGTTTCACTTCTGATCGATCGTAACGCTATTGCCAATCAATAGAAGGAACCTCTGTCGATGGCCTATTCTGTTTTGATAAAGATCAGTTCCATCAAGTGGGGTGGTTATGCCACTTCCTCAAGATATGCTTCTGCAGAACAATTTTCACGGGAGCACGCGATGGAAGGTCAATTCCATTGAGTGGGGCGCCTATGCCACTTCCTCAAGATATGCTTCTGCAGAATAATTTAAACGGGGGTACGCGATGGAGGGTCAATTCCATCGAGTGGGGCGCCTATGCCACTTCCTCAAGATATGCTTCTGCAGAATAATTTTCACGGGGGCACGCGATGGAAGGTCAACTCCATCGGGTGGGGCGCCTATGCCACTTCTCCAAGATATGCTATAGAAGGTATGATATGAAACCGTACCAAGATATCCTTACCTGATCGGTCTCCCGTTGAATTTCCTCCTCCTCTTTCTCTATCCTCTCCTCCCTCTCCTGAAGGTCAGCCCGTAACGTCGCATTAGCTGAGACCATTCGATCAAGTCTCGCCCGGACCTCCTCAGCTCGAGATGCCGAACTCCCTGATCAAAATGAACCAAGTCCTGACCAGAAGCATTTCACCAAGTACCTTGAGCTTCCTCTTCTTGTATTTTTCTGGTGAAGTCAGCAAGTGCGGCCTCGTACCGCCCCTCGCCGTCAACAGCTCGAGCTTCCAGTTCGGCTAGTTGTCGTGCCACTGACGAGCAAATGAGCCAATAGAAGTGCCCATTG